AATAGGGGCGAAGAAACAATAGGAAATGTGGACAAAACGGGGAAATTATTTCACTTTGAGAGCTCCCTAAGCAGAGACTAAATGGCAGTGCATTTTAAATTATGACAGTAATATTAACAAGATGCGCTGCCGACCTATTTAGGCTTTGGAGTGTCAATCACAATCGATCACAATCTACACCGTAATAACAAATCTCTTTTCAGAAAACGAAAACCCGATACTTGCAAGAGCGCGAGCGAGAATTCCACGGTTTAAAGTTCTCGAAAATATTTTTTCTTGTTCCGTTCTTTTTGTTGCTCGTCTGGAATTGTTGCGCCGTTTCTTCAATACATGTTTGATTACTTTAAGGCGGTTTTTATTGCGATAAGATGACCAAACGCGAGTCGGAATCGAATGTAGGGTTCCGTAACGTTAATTAGCATAATTTCATGTAATCATACCTTTTAGATTGTAATTTAAGCGAACCCTAAAAATATAAGAAGCGAATCTTTATATACTATCTTTAGTTGATTCGAGTAGTACACATTTAAATAAAACACTTCAACGGTTTAAAACGCGATATATCGGGACGCAGTTAAAAAGATTTTCAAATTAGTTTTAGTAATATAATTCCCGTTTTAAAACGTTAAAGTGTTAAATAACGTTGTTTAAGCATTGCCTGTTTAGATTCGACCTTGACATTCGGCACACCCTCCCATCAGTCCCCCTGTGACTACAACTGTAAGACATCCGAAACGTCGAGCCTTAATTAAAAAGTTGATATATTTTGTTTTACGTTTGACTTTATGCGTAAACAACTAACAACTCTTACAAGTAGTAAAATACAAATAAAACACTTTAAACGGTTTAAAATATGAAATGTATAACCTCATTTACGATTACGATTGGAATAAAAAGAATAACTAAGTTCCGATTTAAATTAAACACTTAAAACGGTTTTAAACTCGAAATAAACTCTTTTACAATTTATTGCAACTAGGACATTTAGTTAGTTTCGTAGTTAACTACAGAATCGTTTAAACCACAGATAATACTAAACGGGCTCGATTATTGACAGCCCCGACGATGGACCCATCATTTCCGCCCCCCCCCCCGGGGGCTAACCAGCCCCCATTCTTGAAGAGAGACGAAATTATCTGTCACTCACTTCAAAACGCCTTTTGTGATCGCACGAAATTTTAAGTGGACAATTATTTTTCCATTTAACTAGCAATAGTAGAGATGATTCAAGACTTCGAAGTTTCAACGGCTACTTTACGTTACGTAACGCGTTACGGCTGTAGTCTCTTGTTTTAATAACCATTCTTTGAAGCCTTTCGTGATTTTAGTCGATGAAGAGTCGAGCGTATTAAACAAGTATTTATTTTAAACGATCGTCGATATTACTATCGCGTTTTAAACCGTTAAAAGGGTTTTATTTGATGTGTAATTAACCTAATCATAATGTAACAATTACAATTCAGATTGCAGGTAAAAAGTTAATGGTTACTTTAATAGAACATCGATGGTTTATTTTCCCTGTTTGTTATTATTTAAACTATTTTTTCCCTAGTCAGCATAAATAGGGAGAGAGTTTAATGCCATGGGATAGATAATATTAAATACTGTCTATAGTTTAAGCGTGTAGTATACATTTAAATAAAACACTTTAACGGTTTGAAACGCGATATATTAGTTAAAGTGTTTTATTTAAATAGATAATATTTATTAAAATACAGACATGATAAAGGAGAACAGACAACCATGTCTGTGAAACCCCCAACGCCAAACAAAATGCGCTGTCGACCCTTTGGCTTTGGATATTCGGAAATCCACAGACTGGAAACGCTATCTTATTTTTATGACTTTTGCATCTATATCTAAGGGGGAATTGTATCCATCTATTGTCATAGACAAAAATACGAAGAAGTTACTGATATAGTTAGGGTTTTAAACCGTTAAAAGTGATTGGTGCGTGTCATCTAGTTATAGTTCCTTCGACCGTATGATAGATCCTTTTTAACGCAAGTTTCTTGTTATCTTTACCAATACGTTTGTATTTAATTGGTACCATTTATATCGATTAGTACATTAAATTCTTACTAATATGTTTCGCGTTTTAAACGGTCAAAAGCTCAATACCAATTGCATAGACTAGTACAATCCTTACTAATATTTTTTTAAATACTATAATTTTGGGGAAAATTATTCACCATCGTGAGTTTCCAACGTACGCTGCGAAAACGGTTTGAGATACCCAAAAAATATGCGAGAAGAAATGATACCTCTTTAATTGACCTAAAACAATGTCCGCACCGACGTCGGGCTTTGAGAAACAGAGGTTTAACACACAAATTCGGATGCCCAAAATAGTAGGATGGACCTACGCGGACAAAGTCGCTGGACATATGGAGAACTTTCAACAAAGGCACGGAAATTACGGCTAGATAACGGAGTCAAAGTCCAAAATCTATTTCACAATAATCGAAAACAAACACACTAATGTGTCTGGCGATAATTATGTAATGAATACGTTCTGCCCGTCACGCGTTTAGAATGTATTGATAAGCGATAAGGCGCTGTGGTATGACGCCTGGCGTACATCGGGCGATAAGGACGAAAAATCACATAATGCCATTAAAAAACACATTATTGATAATATCAAAAAAATTGCGTACGCAAGAACACAAAGTTTTTTGACGGTTTAAAACGCTAAATGTATTAGTTGAAATTGTTTTAATTTAGTTTTAAATACGGTCCGACGTTTCGGATGCTATGTAGCAGCCGTGGTCGTGGGGAGACTGCGCGTATATATTGCGTTTTAAACCGTTTAAGTCTTTTCTTTAAATGTGCTTACAATCGGTAATAAACTACAGACAGTATTTAACTTTCATTTTATTCACATGTATACGGCTATATATGAACTGTACTGTAGGACTTGGTAGATTAGTTTGTTAGAGCAACAGCACGGAACGCGTGGATGTCGGTTCTAGTCCTGCCCGAGTCGTAAATTTTTCAATTTAAAATCGATTTTTCATTTATACCATTTCAACAGTTCAAACCGCGAAATGTACTAGTTTCAACATTTTGTTTTTACTACGGTCCGAAGTTTCGGATGCTTTGCAGCAGCTGTAGTCATGGGGGGACCACGGCTAGTTTAAATACATATTACTTATAGAATTTTTAACCATATGTGTCGTATCAATTTATTAATATCCTAAAGTCATACAACAGATAATTTGACCCACCACGCCGTTCCAATGCGGGTTTGCGAGCTTTAACTACAACCTTAAGCCTTAACGAAACGTTGCTTTGGTCGTAGGTAAATATATATTTACCACTTTATAATGCGTTTTAAACCGTTAAAAGTGGTTTATTTAATGTTAAATTCATATTCTGTAATATATATAACCCATATAAACTAAATGTAATCATTATAAAGACATTGAATACTATATCTTTTGTGTTTTAAACCAAATAGTTAAATAATTCACGTTTCTTACCGTTTAAATTGTTTTATTTAATTGTAAACAATTCCCATAGGCCTTCACATCTCTACATCCCTCCCTTTTTTATAATATTAGCGTTAAATCGTTAACTTTGTACCACTCGCATAAACGACATTATCTTTCATATAAATATGACACCGCGTCACGCTCGCAAAATAACCTTTTATTAGGTGATATCACTATTTGTTGCAGATCGCGATAAAGCAAGTGTTTTGCGAGAGTGCGATAAGCGATATGCGTTGCTATGCAGGTTTTGTGACGGAATATATATGAATTGTATTTTACTGGCAAGCTTGTGCTTAGACCAAGAGTGCCGAAGGGGTCATCGTCTCCTTTAATCAGCCCACTGCAGCCTACAGAGCTGGACGTTTTGAGATAGCGTGCTGAAACGTAGACCAAGGGTGCCCCAAAGGGGGGAATCGTCCACATGAAACGCCGCCGTGTGGCTTAAAGACCTGGACAATTTTAGATGGCGTGTTTGAGCGTAGACCGAAGGTATCCCGCTAAGGCAGCATTGTCTATTTGGATAACAAAAGTATGGATATTGGGCTGGAAGTTTTAAGTAGTGTGCTTAAGACCAAGTAGTCAAGACCAAGAGTGCTCCGAATTCATCATCTACTTGGATCACCGATGTGTGACTTAAGGAGTAGAATCGTTTTTTCGGACAAGCAAACCGTTCTCTATCATATTTTTAGAGGGACCCACCCCCTCTAAAAATTTGATGTACTACTACTTACAGTGTAGTTATGTAGTTTATGCGTGTAGAGGGACCCCCTCTAAAAATATGATGTCGTTGCATTTTACGCACTTTTAGATGCGATAAAAAACACACTTTTAACGGTTTAAAAAGCGAAATGTATCTAATAACTTATTTATCTACGCTTTGTTGCTTTGCAGTCGCGTCCACGTAATTAAAATGAATTTTAAAAATAAATTTCGCGTTTTAGACCGTTAAGTTTTTTATTTAAAGATTAATTTTACAAATATTAAGCTATATAATGTCTATAACAGCTTAACAATAATGTCTAGTCGATCTTCGCTATGACGCAAATTAATGCTCTACTTCTAACTTGGAAGGCTTCTCGTCTGCCAAGTAATAATTATAGTCCCTCATTTGTATGGACGCCTCTTCGCCCGACCTTCCAAGATTCTTCGGCTTACGAGCTGACGAAATTTATTGTAATCACCTTTATCTCGCGTTTAAGTAGTTGGACGATGAAAGAGTACACATGCGCTGTCGACTTATTTCGGCTTCGGTTATTGGGAAACCGAAACGCGATTAAACTTCACGTATTTCTAACTGTGGACCGTTTGTTACCCGGGTTGAATAATATTCCTATCACGAGACGAAGTCCAATATGTTTAAAAAAATATATATATTAGTACCATGTTAGACCTCGTAGGGAAAGAAGCGACCCGTCGATTAATATCCGTACATTGCTACCCTATTTGACAAACCAATCCCCAAACAGCCACGTTGACCTCACAAGGGTTTCTTGTAAGTCTTCTCCTATGAAGCGGCCATCTAGGTTCCAGTTCCCCGCTCTAGAGCGACGAAGGACCGATCAATCTGGATGTAATGGCGACGGCGCTGGCGCCACCGCGGGCGACGCACCCCGACCACAGACTATCGCGTTAGGCCGCCGTCACACAGACTCACCGCGAGGAAAACGCAAGTAAATTCGTTTGTTAACTTACAGTGTAGTTATGTAGTTTATGCGTGTAGTAGGATTAAACTAAAACAATTTTACGGGTTTAAAACGCGAAACATACTCGTCAAGTTCGTTCGCTCTGGAAACCCAAGAAATCAGGTGTAACAACTAATTTAGTGTTTTAATCCGTTTAGTATTTTTTCTTTAATCGATGTTATATTTGAGACGCTGCTTTAAGTGTCTAAAACATAACATATCAGTTCAGATTCTAAAGTGAAATGATATTAAACCAAAATACGTAGATTTTAAGGTAGAAATTACGTTACGCGAGAGATGCTGTATCGGTTGAAAAATTCGACGACGACGTTCGTGACGGTAGTCAACGGACACGGTAATTCAATCGGTTAGAGCAGCACGGAACGCTTCAGTTGCCGGTTCAAATCCCGCTCATGTCGTATTTTTTTTATGGATTTGAAATAAGTATAATATAATATTGTTCCTATCTATCCTATATGTGACGAATCTGTCGCTAGTTCTCGTTTTTTTTGTACGGCCCTGATTTGATTCATAATTCTATCTAATAACCGACATAAATAAATGATTTTTGATTTGAATAGAATTCAACACATCTTTATCATCGCCGGCGAACTTTATCGTCTGTTTGTCGGAGCCTTAAGTCTAGGGCTTGCCGCCCACTCGCAGTTCAAGGCTAGACGCAGTATTCAATTCCTGTTATATTACATTTGCCAGTAAATATGGATATCATGCTTGTCTAACATTCTCCCGTTTGATTTATGAGATGGAAAGGAAAGTATACGAAGACAACAAATGTCTGTAGTTTTTCTCTCTTGCGTAAAAAAATTGATGTAATTAATTCGTTGTAGAAAAGCTTCTAAAGGAATGTGATTATAGAATGGAGAGGCAAGGAGAGTCTTCAAAATAAAATACTAACGGTTTAAAACGCCAACGTCTCTTCGTGGCCACGGCTGCAAAGTATCCGAATCATCGTAGTTAAGATAATTTGTAGATAAGTGAAACTTATATATTTCGCGTTTTAATCCGTTAAATGTGTTACTTATATGCGTAGACATTTTCTTGTAACCTCATTCTCTTCTATAATCACATTTTTCATCTAGGAGTTTTTTTACAATGAAAGTATTTCATTTTTTATAATACATGAGAGACAAAAATGGAGTTGCCTTTGTAGGAAATACTTCAGCCATATATAACATCGAAACAAAATGCGCTGTCGACTTATTTTGGCTTTAGATATTCGGAAATGCACGGCCTATAACCGAAACGCGAATAAACTTCACGACTTTCATCTGTGAACCATGGTTTCGAATCGACTTTCATTCCTACCACCCATCTAATATCCAAATTTGTAGACGAAGTTCAATGTGTTTTAAAACAATTATAAATTAAATAACTTGTTGGACCCGGTGGGAATCGAACCCACGACCCGACGATTATTGACATTGCTACCATTACACCGGCGAGCCCGTCAGAACACGTACTAAATATTTTCGCTTGATTAAAAAAAAGACAGATCGCGACCACGTCGATAGATGTTCCGTTCGTTCACACCAGGATTTATATTTAGTCGTGTCGGAATGCAGCCAGCGCTGAGCACTGACCTACCGCAACAGCACTGTCACAGTTTCCGACGATCAGCATGCCCCACTTCTTTCGATAACCTTTGAAGTGCACTACTCACATTTCCCCCATCTATACTAATATAAAACTGAAGAGTTTGTTTGAACGCGCCTATCTGAGGAACTACTAGTTGGAATTTAAATTATTTTTGTGTTGGTTAGAGCATTTATCGAGGAAGGCTTTAGGCTGTAAACACATCGCTGCGACAAATAGGAGCGAAGAAACAGCGGAAAATGTGGAAAAACGGGGAAATTATTCCTCGTTGTGCGTGCCTTCCGTTGCGTGTGCTGCGAAAACGGTTCTAAAAACCAAAAAATATGCATGGCATAATTATTCCTGTCTGAATGATCTACAAAAACGTCCGCGACAGTATATCTCTATATTTTAAGATTAACGCAAGAACCGTTTATATGGTAGTGAAGTTTGGTCGAAATTTTATCAACATAATACTATTTTTGAAAACAAAACGTTTGTCGGATCAGCTAGTCATAAATAATCCCGTTTGGGGTATGGGGCGAATACTGGGATTTTAGTTTCGAGTCTTGGAATATGAGTAGGTACAATAATTACTGGGTTTTTCACTATCACACATACACATATTATATGTAAAACTCACGACGTAATGTGGACATCGCGTGGTATTATATTCAAAACATATTTTTCATTCCAACCGTGCCATTAATCTGTATTTGATAGTTCAAATCGAAGTAAAATAAAAAAACATTAAGGTAAATAATATGCTTGTAACGGTTTAAAACGTGAAATATACAAGTAAGGCAGCTGCGAAGCGTCCCAAACGACGACAAGTAAAAATAAATTAAAAACTTTGCTCACTGCTTGACCAGATGAATCAATTTATCTCGTGTTTTAAACTGTTAAAACAGTGTTCTGTTTAAGTGGTAAAAAAGGGCCGTGGCGACTCACAAATAGGGTTCTGTAACATTGACTTGGTACACAAAATTATTGTAAATTTTTCGTTTCTTCCTACTGCCTTTCACTTCTAGCCATTCCTGCATGCCGTACAATTTTTCAATAAAAAAACTATTTTATGGCGAATCTAAACTCTAACTAGCTTACAGGCCGTGGCAAGCCGAGCGAAATCTCGTTCTACGTCCAGAACTGTAGTGACTAACCGCTTTCGAGAGGCCGGTGCGAACAGAATCGGACACCCGGACGACCGACGCGTCGTGTCCGACGGCTTATCGGACACAATGCTCGCTCGATAACGGAACAATGAGCGTAAACTAGCAGATATGCTTATCTAGTGTCAATACTCTTTTGTACCCGAGATACGTCTATTAGTCCTAATGCGCCGGCGCATTCTTACCTCATAATGTCGGCCATTAAGTAACTACTTGTTGGTGGTTTTAGATATAAAAAACATCAAAGTTCTCGAACTTTGGTGTATTGTTAATCGACGGGTCGTGGATTCTATCCCCACCGGGTTGAATGTTTCTAATAAATTTATAGTTTCTCTGTAACTTGTATATCTTAATTCCGTACGTCACGAACCACTGTCGAAAGATGAAGCCATAAGGTAATCGCGTTTCGGTTTTCCAATATAGCCAAAATAGGCCGATGACGCATCTTGTAATTCACCTCTCGTGAACCCCAAGCCTGTTTAAACCATCGTTTAAGTCCTACATCCATAAAACATTTATAAGTTGATTTTTAAAAACATACTGGAACCGATGGCAATCGAACCCGTTGTTTATTAAATACTGTCTGTAGTTTATGCGAGTAGTACACATTTAAGTAAAACATTTTAACGGTTTAAAACGAGATATAGTAGTTAGATTTGTTTAAAAATTAATTTTAACCACGTCCCGACGTTTTGGGCGCTTTGCAGCAGCCGTGGTCACGTGGCCACGGGGAGACTTAAGATGGAGAGTGTTTCTGACGGTAAAGTAAAAACTGCTACGCTAGCGCCATCTGTTTCGTCGAAGTTGGTGTTCACATATATTACAGTTTCGCCAAATTAAAGATAATATTCAAATTAGTTTAACTAATACACATCGCGTTTTAAACCGTTGTTTATTAGTTATATACAGCGTCGAGGCCGTCGAAAATCATTATCATAACGTTAATTTGAATATAACATTTAATCTTTGGCCTCATAATGTGTTTGTAATCCACGTTTACATAATTAACGGTTGACAATGTGCTGTTTAGATAAAAGCAGACAACACATACGCAAATGCTTTTTACGCCACACTAATCTATACTATTATATAAAGCTGAAAATATTGCCTGTTTGTTTAAACGTGCTTATCTCAGGAACTACTGGTTCGAATTAAAAAAATATTAATCTTTAAAAAAATGTCCGAGACGGTATATATGTCTATTTTAAAAGATTAACTTTTTATGATAATCAAATTTGGTAAGAGTACTTCCTATGGTAAATGACCTCTTCACCTATGTACAGCATTGACTCATTTTTGAGTCCGTTTTACTGGATACTGTCTGTAGTTTACGCGAGTAGTACACATTTAAATAAAACACTTTAACGGTTTAAAACGCGATATATTTTCCCGTGTCCCGTGACCACGGCTGCTGCAAAGCACCCGAAACGTCGGGCCGTAGTTAAAAATCATTTTCAAATAAGTTTAACTAAAATATATCGCGTTTTAAACCGTTAAAGTGTTTTATTTAAATGTGTACTACTGATCAATTTTATGTACAGGCAAGCAGGCAAGGCATTAGACGAGCTCGCTGTTATCTATCGCTAATAATCAACGGGTCGCAGCTTCGATCTCCACCCGACCCAGCATTTCTACGTTACAGCAGTTCTACGTGACTCGGACGGAATTTCTATATTACTACCATACAGATTTCCAGATGAAGTCCAACACACGTTGGACCCAATGTGGCTCGAACCCGACGACCCTTTTTAGCCATACATCGCTACCATTGCTAGCCCGTCAAAAGTGAACAATACCATCGTACAAGATAACATTTGTTTTTTTATATAATATTTGCCTTACATAACAAGATAAGAATCGGCTATCGAAATTCACTATGCGTATCGGCGCAAGCGCCTCTTCGTAACTAATTTGTTTTCTAAAATGGTATCATTGACTACATCCTATATTATTATGCGCGTGAGTGGTACCGGAATACCGTAACCGGTCATATCCGGTTCTATAAAGTATGAAGTACTCCCAAATACGCGTACTATCTATACTAATAATATAAAGAAGTGTTTGTTTGAACGCGCTAATCTCAGGAACTACTGGTTCGCACTGAAAATCTTTCTTATATTGGTTAGAGCATTTATCGAAGAAGGTTTTAAGCTGTAAAACACCACGCTGCGACCAATTTGTGCGAAGAAACAGTGGAAAGTGTGGAATAAACGGGGAAAATTGTCATCTTTGAGAGCTTTTGTTGCGTGCGCTGCGAAAACGGTTCAAGATACACAAACACTATGTAGGAAAGAATGATTCCTCTGTAAATGATCTAAAAAAATGTCCTTGACAGTAAATGTCTATCTTCTAAGATTAACTTGCAAGAACAGCTTAAATTTATAAAAACGAGATTCGCAAAATCTAATTTGACGCCCAAAATAACTATTCTACGCCGACAAACTCGCGGCCACATCTAGTAAAAAGTGCTCCCTTATACGCGTACATTACTTAATACACTTATCGGCGAATGAATCACGTTCGAACGGCTCTAATTAGCGTTTAGATTTTTCACTGTTAACACAGTTTTCCATTTATCAACGACTCACGACCTTCACAAGCGCATTGATAAGAGATAAATGACTGCTCAGTACTTAAACACTGTAGCTTACGCGAGTAGTACACATTTAAATGAAACACTTTAACGGTTTAAAACGCGGTATATATTAGTTAAATTTATTTGAAAATCATTTAAACTACGGGCCGGCGTTTATTTCCCGTGACCACGGCTGTTGCAAAGCGACCCATACCCCAATACCCCAGCAAATAGCAATAACAAGATTCGCTGTTGACCTATTTTGGCTTTGGAAATTCGGAAATCCAGAGAGTTTCGGTCTCAACGCGATTACACTTCACGGCTTTTTCATCTGTTGGTTCGTGAAGACGCAATTTCGATATTCCTACCGCCCATTGAATATCCAGATTTCCAGAAGTCCAACATGTAAAAAAATATATAAATTGATTAGAAGCATTTTGGACCGCTGGGATATATTAGGCATACATAGACCATTAGACTAACGAACCCGTGATTTTTTTTATTTAGAACGAAAAGAAGGCTTTTGCGGCCATTTTGCAAAGCTATTGGTGTCTAGCTGCACGACGGTCGTAATTAAAAAACCGAGGCGCAGTTACGACGGAACAGCTCGAAGTCAAATAGCTGTTTTACACCACTAGAAGTAAGCCGCAGAACACTTGTAACTGCTTCAAATTAGAATATTTCACGTTTAAAACAGTCGTGCCTCGTTTCACGAGCTGGTATCACCTTTTCTCACCGTGTTCAAACAGATTGTGTTCGCCGCAGGCCGACACTGTTTATCAACAGGTATATTCCGCGATCAGCAGCAGCATCCGCCGCAATCAGCTGTATGTCGGCACACACGCACTGGATCCGCAAAGCCGAGGGGCACTGGCTGCACACACACACACGCGAGAACTGGCTTCAGCGGGGAGCAGCGGACATTGCGGACGCGTGCTCGCAGTGGGAACGTCGGCGAACGACTGAGGACAGCAGCGGGGGCAGCGGGGGCAGCCGGCACCGCCCCCGCCGCCCCCTGCACCCCGCCGCCCCGTCGGATGAATGACAATAATGGAAGACGTTCAACTCGGCCGCAGCCGAATATGAATCATTGCATGGGTGCAGCCCCGCCCGACTGCAGCCGGATGATTGTCGGCTTATCGGCGGTCGGCGCATCTGTTCGCGTTAAGTCGCGAGTGACACGGGCATGATCGCTGGTTATTGATGACAGACAAGCATGGCGTACATTGATGATGTGATGTGGACGAAAAAGATGTGTTGTCGGCCTATGTCAGTTTCGTAAATTTCTAAAACTATCGATTGATAGTGAAACGCAGATGTATTATTGTTTTAGATAATTATAGAATTGTTGTTTTAATGACATACAATCATAACGTTGTTGATAGTGTGTTGTCGGCCTATGTTTGTTTTGTCAATTTGTAAAGCCATTGATTGAAACTAAAATGCGAATTTAATGTCGCCCTTAGATCAGATTAGCAATTTTGCTACTCATGACAGACAAGCTTAACGTTCATGTTCTGTTGTCGGCCTATGTAGGCTGTTGTAAATTTGCAAAATCCACTAATTGACAGTGAAACGCGAATTTATTATCTGTGAACGTTGGTTCGTAATGACGTAATGGAAACGATATTCCCACCACCACATTTAATTTTCAAGTTGTTTCAGACGAATTTGAAGTGTTATGTAAATTATAAATTGATTTTAGAACCACGTTGGGAATCGAAACTACGATCCGTCGATATGAATATCCCACTGTTGGGCAAAGGTGTGAAGTGAGGGTTTAAGTTTGACCCACCATACTACTTTAGTGGTTAAAGTTGTCTAGGATTACGTTAAGACTGGTTCTTGGTTCGAATACTGGAGAAACCGATGCCATAAAAGTCGCGAAACAAGATTTATCGGTGAAACGGACACAGAAATATGTTCGCCCCACGCCGCAGAGGCAGAAACGGTTTTTTTCTCATGGCCCTACATTTTATGTAGGTGGGCCAGACAAAAATAAAAGTGTGCAAGATATTCCTCGTTTCAGACACACAATGCAGACAGAGCGCCTACGTACAGTTCTTCACGTTCAGAAGATTGTAAAGCGGCTAAGCGCGAGTCGGATTCGTGTACGATGGGTTCTGTACCATTGGCAACGCAAACTTTTATTTAAATCTAATTTAAATACTGTCTATAGTTTACGCGAGTAGTACACATTTAAATAAAACACTTTAACGGTTTAAAACGCGATATATTAGTTAAACTCATTTGAAAATTATTTTTAACTTCGGCCCGACGTTTCGGATGCTTTGCAGCAGCCGTGGTCTCTTGGTCTCCCCACGTGACCGCAAGAATATATCGCATTTTAAACCGTTAAAGTGTTTTATTTAAATCTAAATTGTTAAATTGCAATAGAACACTTTTAACAGTTTAAAACGCGAACTACATTAGTTAACTTATTTTTTATTAACACTTTCAAGCACGTGCTGCTCCATTTAATTTGTCTGTAGTTTACGCGAGGAGAACAAACTTAAATAACTTTTAACGGTTTAAAACGTGAAATTACTTGACTTATTTTTAATATCGCTTTCAAGCACGTACCGGTTCATTTACACGGTAAAATGCGAAATATATTTTTTAACAATGACAGATGACAGAGATGCAGCAGCCGTGGTCCCACCGTGGCCCTTGTGAAACTAAGTGGGGTATGGGACGCGCATGCCCGCAACCGTTTGTCTTCGCTTTTTAAGAAGTTGAACCTTTTGTATTCCTGGGATCCGAACCGAACCATCTTGTTAAAATATAATCACTGATCCATGGAGGTAGCATTTGATGATGTAACACTTCTGCTGTTGAAAAATTACGAGGCAACTTGACACGAGTTACAGCGCTGAAGAGAATTCAAACTTCACGTGTTTAATTACATTTTTTTTTTCTGTAAGAACATACGATTGGTTTCAATTAGAAGATAAATACTTTTAACGGGCTTAAACGCAATATATAGAAATATTATATCGAATTTCGTAAATTAACATTTTCAAGAACGTAATGATGTACTATTGTCTGTTGTTTAAATAGTATGCGTTTAAATAAAACACTTTTAACGGTCTAAAACGCGATATATATTAGTTTAACTTATTGGAAAACTATTTATTTAAATATGTATGTACCTCTAGTATCGTTTATTTCTCATTACTGTTTGTTTGTATGTATTATTGTATTGAGAATGAATGATTGTTTTAATAAAACCCTTTTAACTGTTTGAAACTCGAAACATATCTTCACTTATTATTAAATTAATTAAGTTCACTCGTAACCACGTCGGGCTATAGGTAAAATAAGTTAACTATTATATTTCAAGTTTCAAACCGTTAAAAATGGTTTTAAACAATTTGCACTACTCGCATAAACTGCAGGCAATGCATAAATAAACACTTTCCCCAGTGCATCGGCCCGACGCAGCGGCCTCGAGAGAGAACGTCTAAATTACCTCGAGCGGACACAATTGGAAGAAAACATGAGGGCGAAGCCCCGGATTAGATTAGCGGAGATAAGATTAGTGGTCGCTCCCCGGTAATTGCGCTCCCATACTTGCAAGGATTAACTGCATTTGAGCGCTGTTCCACCGCGAAAAATCATTGCAACTCACTGGTCGTAGCTTCGATTCCCATGCAGTCCAAAATGTGTCTAATGATGTATAGTTTTTTTGAAACGTGTTCTGGAAATACTGTCGTATAGTTAACGTCGGGCTGAACTTAAAAATGATTTTCAAATAAGTTTAACTAATATATCGCGTTTTAAACCGTTAAAGTTTTTTATTTAAATGTGTACTACTCGCGTAAACTATAGACAGTATTTAAAGTTTGTTTGTTTGCTTAGATGAATTTTGCTTTGCTTTTTATGTTGCATAGAGTATAGACCATTTATCGATGAAGGCTTTAGGCTATAAAACATTACGATGTGACTAAAAAAAAAAAAAAAAAAAAAAAAAAAAAAAAAAAAAAAAAAAAAAAAAAAGGGGGGGGGGGCAAAAGGAAAAAAAAAAACAAAAAAAAAAAAAAAAAAAAAAAAAAACCCCCCAAAAAAAAAAAAAAAAAAACCCCCCCCCCCAAAATTTAAAAAAAAAAAAAAAAAAAAAAAAGGGGGGGGGGGGGGGGGGGGGGGGGAAAAAAAAAAAAAAAAAAAAAAAAAAAACCCCCCCCGGGGGGGGGGGGCGGGGGCCCCCCCGAAAAAAAAAAAAAAAAAAAAAAAAAAATAATTTGGGGGGAGTTTGGGAAAAGAATACCCAGGAAACTACTAGGGCGGGAACGGGGTTCCCCCGCGCCTATTAGCCACAGCGCAACGTTTTATAGCCGGTAACCTTCTTCGAAAACTGCTCTAACCAACATGAAATAATTTTTAAATTTGAACCAGCAGTTCCTGCGTTTAGCGCGTCCGAATAAACTCGTGGCTTTATAACATTAGTATCGTCGGGCCAGTAGTGAAAATGCAGTGGAATCTTTGCAGTTGATATAACATTCGTTTGCACGCTAACGCGATAACGTGTTTATTCAAGTGACGACCGTACACCTCACTTCTTCATAAATATTTACGAATGCGAAACTTCACGAGAGATAACAATCCAAATTAAATGAAACGCTATTCGATTTTGTCTATAGTTGACGCGAGTAGTGCACATTTAAATAAAACACTTTAACGGTTTAAAACGCGGTATATTAGTTATATTATAGTATAGTAGTATAATGTGTATATTATAGTAGTATAATGTGTACTACTCGCTTAAACTATAGACAGTAATTAGTTAAACTTATTTGAAAATAATTTTTAACTTAGGCTTGACGTTTCGGATGCTTTGCATTTGCATGTCGCCCCGTGACCACGGCTGTTTAAAACGCGATATACTTTAGTTAAACTTTTTTGAGAATTGTTTTGAACTACAGGCCGACGTTTCTGATGCTTTGCAGGAGCCGTGGTCACGGGAGACAATAAAAACGGGAAAATGTTTAACTAAAATATATCGCGTTTTGAACCGTCAAAAGTGTTTTATTTAAATGTGCACTACTCGTGTTAATTACAGACAGTATTGTTTGATTAATTCTTTACTAAGTTTCGACGTTACGGATGTTAAACGTGAGTCGAATAAAACACTGTAATGGTTTAAAATGAGAAATATATATAACTTACTAGCTGTGCCCGCGACTTCGTTCGCATGGAATAGTGACTTGGGGTAGAATTTAATCTATTGTAAGTGCTACTTTGCCACATCACTCCTACTCTAACTCTTACTCCCACTCCCATTCCCAAAAAAACCAAAGACCCCCCCTTAACTTCTTACAACCTCTTTTTCGCAATGAAAAGAAGCCTATGTTCTTTCTCAGGGTCTAGACCATCTGTATACTAAAATTTCATTCAAATCCTTTTAGTAGTTTTGGCGTGAAAGAGTAACAGACTGACAGAGTTACTTTCGCATTTATAATATTAGTAAGGCTTACAGTCCGAGATTTCAGTTACTTTGCAACAGCCAAGCTTACGGACTAAAGATGGGGGAATTATGTCTCCTGTTTATTTTAAATTTTAAATTATTTGATGTATCGGTAAAGTTAGACGTAAATAATGCAAGGGTAAAAGGCCAAAAGGCCAAAAGGCCAAAAGGCCAAAAGGCCAAAAGGCCAAAAGGCCAAAAGGCCAAAAGGCCAAAAGGCCAAAAGGCCAAAAGGCCAAAAGACCAAAAGGCCAAAAGGCCAAAAGGCCAAAAGGCCAAAAGACCAAAAGGCCAATAGGCCAAAAGGCAAAAAGGCCAAAAGACCAAAAGGCCAATAGGCCAAAAGGCCAAAACATCCTAACTTTTGAGATGCAGTCATATTAATCTTAGTTATAGGGTCCCGTTTTTACCGTTTTCGTACGGAACCCTAAGAACGCCTTATTTACTTAATAGCCCCGTTTTCCGATAAGTCTGGCGAAATAAAAGTGCAACAAACTAATATAACCTTTCCTTATCGTTCGATCAAAGTCAAGTGAAGACACTGTATTTTGTCCTTCCCGACAGCTCAGTGTAGTTGTACAGTGGTTGCTAGGTTGGTTACTGGTTCGACTCTCGGGAAAGAATGAGTTCCGGTTTAGAAATAACCTAAAATTAAAGCCCGAATATTAGACATGAGAGATTCCTATTCTATTAATGAGGCTCGTAGGGTCGATTTCCACCGGGTTCAAAATTCTTTGTAAAGTAATTTATACATTTTCTAAAAGCTGATAAACATATAAAAACTGAAATAAAACAGTTTTAACGGTTTTAAAAGCGGAATTAATGAGTTAAGTTATAAATTTGCGCGGTCGGGGTGTGGTGCGGGTCGTAGCTACAATAAGTTGACTTATACATTTCGCGTTTTAAACCGTTTAAACTGTTTTATTTCAGTGTCTAATTTTTTTAGCAAAATGATAAATATCTTTTAAATTAAGATGTTTTACCCGGTCGGATCTACGATCCTTTGAATTAGTATACATATATGAAAACGAAATCAGTCTGCGATCCTAGTTCTAGTCCAATGAAAATCTCTTTGTTAATCAGAGCCACATTGGGAATTTCGACCACGTAATCTATACTAACATATAAAGCTGAAGACTATGTTTGTTTGTTTGGTTTGAACGCGCTAATCTCCGGAACAACTAGTTCGAATTGAAAAATTATTTTTGTGTTGGTTAGAGCATTTATCATGGAAGGCTTAAGACCATAAAACATGCTGCAACCAATAGAAGCGAAGTAACAGTGGGAAATGTGGAAAAAATGGGGAAAAAATTTACATTTGAGGGTTACCGGTGCGTGCGCAGCGAAAATGGTTTAAGATACCCGAAAATAATCTGAAAAAATGTCCGTGACAGTATATTGTCAGGTCAGCTAGTCCCAAAATATCATGTCCTACCAGATTTAATTAAACAAAACGGTTTAAAACGCGAAATATATTAGTAAAATCCCTTAACCCCACATTTCAAATACGTTACAACAAATCGGGACCTACATGAAGATTAACTAACTAATATATTTCGCGTTTTAAACTGTTAAAATAAATAGTAAAAGCATACAGAGTGTTCTTAGAATTTCCATTTAAGATATGGTGCTTTCAGTGCTTCTGTTTCCCCTAGATTCGAACTTTGGACGTCTCGCGAACTGTGAAGGCGATCTATAGGCTAATCGTTACTTATTATAATTGTTCTCAATTTCGAATTGTATTTGAGATAAACGCTAAAATAATGTGCGCGTGCGCAATATCGCGTTGTATGTATGTGGTTTTATTTTATCGGGTCTAGACCGGTTAGCCCACGCTGATACACTGATTTCTGCATCTTGCAAACTGACTGCCCTAGTGATGGGAAACAAAGCACGTAGTCGGGACTAAGTTTTAACATGTTGCGATATTATGGTAGAGGAGAGACAAACCTCGGACAAAGGTGACCTAAAGGCTATATAACAACTAGTCAGGATGTTTTATCGACCTATTTACGATTTGTATGCACAAAATAATGATATTAAGACGATATGTTGATTTTGCCATTTAACATCAAATTCACTTAAACATAAAAAAAATATTAAAAACATTGTCTTTACTTTAAGCGAGTAGGACACATTTAAATAAAACACCTTTGTCGTTTTAAAACGCGAAATATATTTTTTACCATATTAAAATTTTATTTAACTACCGACATTTCCGACGTTTTGCAGCAGCATGTCAAATATAAGCGTTGAGCGCTAGCTTAGCAAGTAAAATACATATATTTCTCGCTTTAAACCGTTAAAGTGGTTTTATTTAAATGTGTACTACTCGCATACAGACAGGTCAGCTATTTATAATATAATCGCAGAGCCCAACACTAGACAAGCACCCGCCACACTACTTGTTCTTTTTTCACCCTTATACAGCCTGTATCGACCTCGGGCGCCAATATCAAACTAGTCAAAGCATAAAATCCCACTCCCCACCGTTGGGCATGGGGCGAACACATTTGTGTATCCGTTCTAGTGATCGACGTTTTTACGAATATAACGGGTCATGATAGACACCAATCAACTGGCCGTGGGTTCGATAACCATCGGGTGTAATTTGGAAATCTGGACATTAAATTGATGGAAGAAATATCGAAATTCCGCCTTCACGAACCCCACAAATGCGACTACCGTGAAGTTTGTTCGCGTCTTGGTTATCGTCTGTGAGTTACCTAACACCCAGAGCAAAAATAGGTCGATAACACATCTTACTTAGACGCTATATGACTGGGGTTTTCACCCTTCATCAAGAGAACCCCATATAACAAAACCATTTATTGTTTTCCGGGAAATCGAAGCCCGGACGCCTCTTAACCCAATTCTAAACCAATGAACTATGAAGACTTATATTTCATTCTTTCAAAATTTCATTCGAGAATCCTTTTAAGACTATTTATGCCGGATCACGTCTAGATCAGTTCGGTTACACTTGAATTGCAATGAAAACCTCTATTTTGAGTAAAAGACGAGAAAAAATGAATTATTCCTTAAGTAGTTTACGCGAGGGACACTTACACTTAACGGTTTTAAATGTAAGTGAAGATTTTTTCTAATATCAATTATAACTTAAAATCATCTGTAGGCGATGGTTCGTGACCAGGACGGAATATATTATGTATTGATTTCTCTAACGTATAAAATATAACTTAAATAAAACATGTTTAACCGTATAAAACGCGAAGTATATTTAACGCGTAACATAATTTCATTGGCATTAACAACTGATGGCGTTGCAGTTCTGGCTTTGACATTAGGGACACCATTAGCATTCAGCTCCCCGCTTGACCACGTATACTGCTGCGACGTCCGGCTTAAGTGAAGTAAATTATACATAATGTAAATAATATATTTTGCGTTTGGAACCGTTAAAGTGTTTCACTTAAACGTATAGGTACTACTCGGGTAAAGTACAGCCTTCGTACTACTTTTATTTTAGTTTTAAACCGTTAAAATTGTTTTATTTAAGTGGTATATATACGTAAAAATGTTGTAGTGTTTTAGCATCGTTACTGAGGGTAGTTTGTGGAAATATAAACAGCAAATGCATGTTTAACATAAAAAAAATATATTTAGAATCGCGTGTTTAACAGTTTTTTAAATTTACTAGCTGATCCGGCAAATGTTCTTTTATTCATTGCAAGGTAATATCCATACTACTACGTATATAAAGCTGAAGAGTTTGTTTGTTTGTTACAACGCGCTAATCTCGGGAACTACTGGATCGAATTGAAAAAGTATTTTTGGGTTTGTTAGAGCATTTATCAAGGAAGGCTATAGGCTAACATCGCTGTGACTAAATAGAAGCGAAGAAATAGTGGAAAATGTGGAAATCACGGGGAAAATTATCTAAATATCTTTCCAGGTTTCCAATGCTGTTACGCTGCGAGAACCGTTCAAGATACCCAAAAAATATGTACGAAAGAATGATTATTTTTTAAAGTATCTAAAGAAATGTCCGCGCACTATATTATACAAACACACACATTAGTTACACTTGTCTACTCATATATTTCGCGTTTTAAACCGTTTAAGTGTTTTTTACAAACTTCTATCGTATCTTAGCTAGTTGGATTTCCCCACCGTGTTATTATTGTGGTACATATTTCATCTAAACAATTTTCAACATCGAAATTTAATTTGCGCGAGAGTTGAAAATGAGAATGCTTTCGGCTCGTACCGTACAGAGCAGTAAAACCGACTCATTGTAATGTTTAATCAAAATTTCACATGCTAACCATAAAACATAGTGCGGCAACACAAAGGCATTAGATATTTATTCTCAGCCCCATGTCGCACAAAGCAGGCGCCATTCTTGCGGATTATAATAAGTAGGGTCGTTAGAGGTGCATATGCAGCGATATGCATGCATGGCTGCATACATATTGCTGTCTTTATGCGTCATATTAGATTTACATTAGGATAAAGGGTGTACTTATAGCATTAAGAGAAATATCACAGGTATATAACAAGTCGATATGATGTGTTGTCGACTTATTTTGGCGTAGCACATTCAGCAATCCGGGGACTGAAACCGAAATGCGGTTATAGTTCCTGCCGCCCATAGTTATCTTAGTATATCGCGTTTTAAACCGTTAACAGTAGTAGTTTAATATTTTGCCCGTGATAACATATGTATAATTTAAAAATCGTTTTTTACATAGAAAAAAACACTTTTAACGGTTTAAAACGCGAAATATATTAGTAAACTTGTTTAAGATTATTTCAATTATATCTTAACCTATTGGATGGTTTGCAGAAAAACGTATTTTAAAAAACTTAAAATAAGTAATATATTGCGCGTTTTAAACGGTTAAAAGTGTTTTATTTCAATGTATACTACTCGCGTAAACGAAAGACGTTTCCGAAGTCCAAGAAAAACCATTTCTTTCGCAATTTCAACGAGTTACAACTTTAAAGAAAGGTGATTCGAATTTCCTCGTCCGACGATAACGGAACCACAAAATTGGATTTCCCGATATCATCTGGGTGCTGTTGACAGCGGCCGTTGTGCTCACCGGCTCCCTTGGTTGAATACGACGAATTAAAACATGAAAAACAAGGCTGAAGATTCAACAATCTTCTTAGAATACTGGTTGGTTATTTTTAAAGTATTATCTTTTTTAATTTTTATTTTTTGAGATATAGCGAGATGCGCTGTCGACCCATTGGCTTCGGATAGTTTATCCTTTATAATTATTATCAATTATTGATAACATTAAGTAATTTTATTGTCATTGAATATTA